GTTAAAGTACAAATAAATACAATACAATAATAAATGAAGTGAGCAACGACACATACTATATACGCATCAAGTGAATAAATTGTTGCGATATTTTGCATTCAAATAGCGCAGCCATCTGCTTATGGGTATTAATAAATTCGGTACAATCCAAATATAACTTCTTGCTAAAAATTTATCATTGCCTGTAAATAAACCTAAACGAAAATGAGATATGAAAATGCTTTGCGTCTGCATCTAGCATATATGCATATATGTACGTACAGCTCTCTAGCTCTAATACGAGATATATGAGAGATATATACGAGATAAATGAGAAATTCAAACTATTATTTCAAAAAAGAATGCAGTAATGTGGTTTTATTCAAAGCACATTAAAAAATTCACAATTATAAGAAGATGGGCGAGAAAGTCGACATAGCATATAAACACAAATAATACCTAATTCTGCTAAACCGCAGCGAAATAGATTGTTTGCATTGAAGCTTTTTAGGGTATCGTTTCGTCATATATTTACCTACATATATCCATTCTCTTCGAAAAACTTACTGAATCAGAAATCGAAAGAAAGAAAACTGTATTTGAACAAAAATCCAATGAATATGTTCAATTGTTTCCCTAAATTTTATTTTCACAATCGCGCAACGAATGCAAGGAGTGCGTACAATTGTTCACCATGGCTAGTAAGCATATGGAGAAAGGGACAACTTTGCTGAAGATAACTTATATAAGGTGGGAGGATCGTTCAGATATTTGAAAGTAACTAGTGACTTATCTGTGCATCGTTCTTGTTGCTTAGTTTAGGTAATGCTTCTTGTAAAGCAGAGCAATCTTCTTTAAACAAAAATATAAATAATATAAATAATAATAATAATAATAATAATAATAAAGGAAAATAAGAAGAAGGAACAGTGTGTATACCGCAGAACCCGGCTACCCACTAACAGCTGCCTTTTGAAAGAAGTGAGTAAAAAGAAAGGCAAAAGATTTGAAAAATTATGCACACCAACTATTTAGATGAGAACAAAAAATAAATTAAACAGCAAAAAAGCAATCGCGAGATGACGCTAAACTGCATGAAGACAAAAACACTCGCTCATACTAACGAATCAATGAATTGTATGCAATACAACCATATTTTTAAATGACACATAAACGTATGTACGCAAACGATGAAATCTGGGAAACTTATTCCGATGAACATATAGGAATTTCTTAGCACATTTCAAGAAGTATCATCAAAAATTCCATAGCCTTCGATACACAATAAACCATTGATTATCCTTTCAATGGATATACAACACCTGTTCTTAACATTTCTCTCAAAAGGATGCAATCAGCTATTATTTCATTTATCGAAGGGCTTTCAAAACTGTATACATCATATGGATTTCTCATAAAAAATAACAATTGCAACAATATTTTAAAAAACAAATGTTAGGCATATATTAGAGGCATATAAACGCAGAAATATATAGTACATAATTAAGACTTTCCTAAAGTATAACAATTTATAATTGTAGAATGTGAGACGAGAAACGGAGAATATGTTTTACGCAATGAGAACAAGCGCGAACAAGAGAGTTGTTGAAATTTAAATTAGGGAGAGTGAGAGAGACTGAGAGAGTAAGAAAGCAAAGAGAATTCCGGTTTAAACTATGATGCATTCGTGTTTTATTTTCGTGTAATGGAGACTCGTTATTAAAAACAAGTAAAAACTTTTAGTGTGTTCTGTTAAATGAAGAAACGGTTACAAATTTAGTCGTTTGCTGCGTAGCTAGCAGCTCTCTACAAAGCGAGAAATTGAATACATAAAGTAGACTCTATATACGACTATTTACGAACGATAAAACGGCGTGGTCGCCATAAATATTTTAAATGTGTGAGAAGACGAGAAACCTCAGCACAAAAAAAAGAAAAACAAAATAAAAAAAAAAAAACAAGGAAAAACAGCAATAACGTAGTAGTATAATAGAGCGAACAACAAATAACGAAATGAAATTCTTTTTACTGGTTCATCTCCCTCTCCTTCCCCCCTTATTTCTCGCTTGAAATAACGCACAGCCCAACTGACATATCAGCTAATAGACAATTTTCGTTTTTAAATTTACAGACTCGGTATTTTCTATGAAAGTAGTAGGGAAAGAGGTGCTTAAGAAGTTTGTGAAAATAATGACGTCAAATATGCAAATTAAATAATAAAAAAAAGAAGGAAAATGGTTGAGGAAGTGTTTAAAGAGGGTGACAGAAAAATATTTTACGTATGTGTTTGAAAGCGAGATTTATTTAATTTTAGTTGTGTGCCGTTGGAATGATGTTGCAGTTGCAATGATTTGGACATGCTTTCCTTAAATACAAGCAAATATATATAGAATTTATGAATATTTATTCTCGTCTTTTTTGACTTTGCTAATTAAGACAACGCTTTGCTATTTTCGCTATTGCTTTCATGATGCAACGCCGAGGAAATTTGTAATCAATGCATGCTTACCAGACAATTATCAGCAAAAATAGTCGGCACATGTTTCTAACACCAACATCGATATCTACAGAAAATCACACCCTAACCCCGTTCTATTTATTCAAACAATTTTCATTTACTCAAAAGTCTCCTTCCCTAAACGGACCCTCATCAAAAAAGGCAGCACCAAACACATGCAGTTGAATAACCTTGATTTCATGTCAGTTCCTCTAATCATTCATCGTCACTTTTGATTATGTATAACACAGCACACGAAGCTCTTTTGAAAAATTCAAAAAAACCACTTTCATCTTCATTAATTTCAGAGACTTTTATCTTGCAATGTCCGTTATTTTCATTAATTTCATCGAATTCACTGGGTATCACATTAAATAGATATACTCACCTATTTAGCATAAAAAACAATCAAAAAAGAAAAAAAAAAAAAAAAGAGAAAAGGGAAATGAAATTTTGTTTTAAAATGTTTATTACTTTTTGTTTATATTGCTTTTTATGTTACTTTATCTCATTTTTGTATTTTCTTGCACACATAGAAGCCGAAAATAAACACACTATTGAAACCGTAACAAAATTTTAAGAAACAACAACAAGTCTTTTGACATTTGTGTCATTACTGGCGCGTCTTAGTTTGATTGGTGTGCGATAGAGTTACCATTGTTTCTTTTTATACCCATCATCAGACAATATAGTTATATTAATTCCCTTATTCACTATGTAACTGAACATAAGTCATAATGTTTATATATTCTTGATCAGTTTAAAATTCCACCATCAATTATTGTAAGAACTCGGAAACAAAAATTAAGCATATATTCCCAAACTGCGTAGAACTTGTTTAAATAAATAAAAAAGACGTACACATTAACTGACCCGGACTTACTCAAAGCGAAAAACAATATAGTGCAATTTCCAAAGCTTTTTCTCTAATAAACGACAATATATGTCACCCAATCGGAACTTGCAGGTGTACAAATATCATCTCGGAATTGCCCGGCTTATACACGGGCCTACAATCCTAAAAAAGGATCACAAATTTTATACGTTCACTACATATCGTGGGTGTTAAAAAGGTCAACTTCACACGAGATGAAATTACAACAAAAATTCTTTAATACAATTTCCTTTAAAGATAATGCAAACATTGATGATAAAACTGAAAACAAGTGATCAGATAATGTAGCAGACTATGATTGCTGCACAAATCCATCGTTAAGCGTCGAACAATGTATAATAGAGTCGGTCGTTTTTGAAATCCCTTGTCATTGCGAGAAGTGTATATGTATCACTTCATTACATACATCTTCAAGCGCTTTTTTTATAGAACTATTAGCTAAGCTCACTTCTCATATTACATCATTACGCATATGCATACATAGGAAGAATTACATCATAATAAACTGCTAGTTAATAAGTTTTCATATGATTACAAAAATCAAAAAAAGTGTTACGTTTAGCACACTTCATCTAGGCCGTTGTTTACTGAGAATGTTAACAGTTCAAATAATAAGTAAATGAGTAAGAAATTGCAAAAAAACTAAAAAAGGGGCCACGAAAAAGAAATAAATTAAATGCATTGCTAAGTCATTTGCTGATTTCAATAATTATTTTTGCACATGCATACATCATACATATATAATATATGTATGACGTCGCATATAGCAAGCAATTAAGAGAAATAAATATATACATAAACTCTTCCTCAAATTCACTCTTCTAATGAGCATAGAACATAAGAACGAAATTTAAGATACACTCCTTTGTTGGTATAGGTGCAGTCGAAAAAGATCATATACGCTATTTTTATTTGAATAATGAAATGGACAAATGAGAGTATTATGAAATACTTTAATTTCATTTAACATTTAGTATAAGGTTTTCATTTATTTCTAATGCTATTGCTATTACATAAATAAGAAGCGTTTTCTCCTGAAAATTAGGCTAAGTTCTTTTATAATTGAATAATGTCGATACATATAAGCATAATTGCAATGACTTAAATGACATTTTTTCGGGGGTGGAACTTTCTCAATGCGCCAATTTCCTCTACAATACCGTAGTACACCTAAACATGTTGTATATGTGCGTGCTTTATAATCAACAACAACATGAGAACAATATAATTTTGTTTTTTCCTATAAGGGTGTCGAGCTATTACCGTATAAAAATTCAACACCCTCACTTTAACAAACTTTTTAAATAGTCAAATTTTTCATTGTGTATTTTTTTTATTCTTATGTTTATATGAAGAATTTTAATTTATTTCAAATATAAGTGCGAATATTTTTAATTTGAGCTCTTGACTTTGTAAAAAAAGAGAGGGAAAGAGCACAAAGCGCGAGAAAAGTAAAATTATAACAGAAATGAATTAAAAATCATATTGCCTTCATCTCACATACACCTCTCTTTTCAACTTGTTGTGTAAATACTTTTTAACGGTCAAAACACTATTCTTACTTTTTTCTTTCCATCCGGACAACATTTATACAGAGCATATTTTAAAGTCTTTCTCATTCTCTCTCACCTTGTATATGTGTTAAAACGTTGCTCTCACAATTCGTTTTTCTGTTTCGCATTTACAGTAAATTTTGCATGTGATTAGTAATCGGGTTTTGTTGTTTTTGTTTTTTGCCGTTTTATATGAGAGCGAAAACAACGCGATGGCGAGCAACGAACAAAGAGCGAAGCGCACTATGTAGACAGTTGTAGATTTTGGCTTCACCGCGACGTGTAAAACCCGTGCGATACAGGCACCAAGCAAACGAAACGCGACCCCGAACGACGTTATTGTTTCTGTTATTTTACTGTTGCTGCTTCTTCTTGTTCATCGTCCGTCACTTGTGTGTTCCGTGAATTTTTTTTTTTCAGTTTTTCCTGCTTTCGAATTGCGTTTTAATAAAAAAAATTAAATATCTTTTATAGGATTTAGTGTATTTTTGTCATATAGTACATAAAATTTTAATTTTTTTTCCAGAAGATGGTGTTTTTTTAATTTTCTTGTAAAACACACAACAGAAAATAAAATATAAAATTAAAAAAAACAAATTCATGCCTTCGTGTGTGTGTTCTCTTTGGTGTATGAATCTATCAAGTGAAAATCTTAAAAAATCCATTCATAATTTCCAATAAATTTGCATAAATGTGATTTTTTACTCTTATTTTATTTTAAAAAAAATTTAAAAACTTCAAAAAAACTCCTTCGTTTTTGTTTAAGAACAATATATATATGTATATTTTCGCTCTCTTCTCCTCTCTTTCTCTTGGAGTATTTAGTGTTTAATTATGATTAAAAAAATTAAAGAAAAAATAATTTAACAGCGGAGCGCACTTACGACACACAACTGGCAACGAATGACAACGAACACAACATCGTCGCAAGTGCTACAGCCATTTTGTACTTTGCATTCAGTTGAGGAAAATGTGTAGCGATTGCCAGACTGAGCCATTCAGCAAGTCAGCAAATACATAGTTGTTTGAAAAAGTAGTTGCTGAATTCATAAAAATACTCAGAATATGAAAGTGAATGATGTAATCAGAAAGTAATAAAAGATTTTGCAATTTAAAGAAATAATCTTCAAATTAGATATAGAAATATAATAACACATTTAACAGAAGTTTTACTATTAAAAAATTTGTCCAAATTCAATTTATAATAAATACCTCAGCTAAAATACCACGCTACTGTGTTTTATTTGTAGTAGAATTTACAAATTACCTCGCATTCGTGCGGGACATTGTAAATGCATTGGCACAGATTTACAGCGTTGTATTAAAATGTGCTAAACCTAACATGAAACGTAGTAAATGACAGCTGACTGTCTTACAATAGTTCATGTCTGGCTAATTTTCATTATTTTTTAAAATCAAATTATTTGGCTTTTGACGGGGCAAATCACATATTAAGAAGATCCCTATTCTAGTTTGTCACAATATATTATTATTTATTGATTTATAATTAAAACTAATCTAAATACGTAACAGATCCGCAAGGTGCATTTCATTTAAAATAAGATTTTGGCAACACTTTCAACCAATTAATAAAACCTAATCCCCACAATGGCTAGTTTGTTGTTTCTTTTTACCGCAAGTATTCAGCAGGAATAGTAATATAGCTGTGTTGCCATTTGTTTAGGAATCCCTTGCCGGTAGATGTGACATGGCAACTCTAGCTTGCCTTAACTTTTACAATATGAATTTCAACAAATTCATTTAATCCAATTTATTAAAATGATAATCCTAATGAAGTGTGCACTTTATCTAAGTGCCTTAACCATTTGCGGTGTATATGCACAGGAGGTTGCAGGAAAAATTGAGCAAGAAAGAAACCACCCATCGGAAATAAATGAGACTCCCGAAGAATTCCATGAAGAGCTTTACGTGCAGCCAATGGCGTCCGGCTTTGTAAATACTTATTTTCAGTTTACAACCAAATGGTTCTATAAGAAAGAGGAAAATTGTAAGTATATCCTCAAGAATGGCTGAAAATGCAAAGAATAATTCAATTTTTTTTTGCAGTGCATAACATCCGCTTGGTACCGAGGTCCATAGCAGAAATCTTACTTCAATACGACATTAAGGAATTGCATATAAGTCTAACTCAAGGCTTATGGCGTTACGAATCGTGGGGTTATCCCATTAAAAGTGCTCCGCCAGGTGCTGAAGTTTGGGCTTGGTTCGCTGCAGAAAATTTAGATTCTGATCAGGTAGACGATCAGTGGACGCGTGTAGCTAGTACACTTTCCGGCATTTTATGTGCTTCTCTTAATTTCATTGATCACACCAACACTTTAATACCCAAATATGGTTTCCGTCCTCAGTTTATAAGCGCTGCCGGTCAGAATTTTACTAAGCATTTGCGGTATTCCAGTTTGCCCCGTGAAATAGTGTGTACGGAAAATCTAACCCCTTGGAAAAAATTGTTGCCTTGCAATAGTAAAAACGGTTTTGCATCCTTGCTGAATTCCGTTAACGTTTACAATACAAACTACCACTCGTTGGGTGTAAGAGTTCGCACATTTTGTCTACATAAAAACGAGTGCTTTTTAGAATTTATTGAATCGGCGAATTTAGTTTATGATTCTAAAATGTTAACAGTATCTAATTCTAATGATTTTTCTTTACGCCGTCTATTCGGCCAAGGTTTAAACGGTCATTGCCCTTTGGCTAAAAGCAGTAAAGTTTATGTGAATCTAAATTCCCCTGTCAACTATGAGCTAAATCCTGCGCCCCAGTATAATGTGAGTTCGGTCAGAGGTAGCTTCACTTCACATTACGGTGTTTACGACATACAACGATTAAAGGGTCAAAGATTATTTAATATTGCTTGGTTTCAGCGAAAAGCTTCGAACTCTCCATTAACCCCTCCTCCTCTGTGCGTTCATCGTTACATTGTTGGTCAAGGTCAAGAGAGAGGCAAACTTGTTACTCAATTGGCCAATACTCACTACAGCACTTTGCGAGTAATACTTCAAGAAAATATACCTTGGTTTATGCCCATTTATATGCACACACTCAAAATTCGCAATCAGCGAACTGCCGAGCTTATTAAACCTAAAACGATCAATTATTATCCAGGTGTGCAAAGGAAACGCCCTTACCATTTAGAACTGCTTTTTTATTTACCTAGTCAAACGTCGGTGGAAATCTCGTTTGATTTCGATTACATATTTCTTAAATGGCTGGAATATCCACCGGACGCTAATCACGGCCATTATGTAGGATCCGCTGTGATAACAACTCAATTGCCTTTGGCTCGTAACTATACTGCCATACCAGCGTGGGGAACAATTTTTGCCGATTCATTTAACGCATCAGAAAGCTATTATCTGCTTCAACTGCGTACTGAATCTTTGTTACTATCATTGCCTACACCTGACTTCAGCATGCCATATAATGTTATCTGCTTAGCTTGTACTGTAGTGGCGTTAGCTTTTGGACCCATTCATAGTATTGCTACTAAACGTATTATTATCGAGGAAAATGCAGCAGCGTCCGCTACGTTTTACACGAAAATTCTGCAGAAACTGAAAAGAAAACCGAAAACCTCTATAAAACAAGTGATCAGCAAGAGAAAGGACGACAATCAACAATTGACAGACATCGAAACAGCGATTCTACAGAATCCTGACAATGCAAACAGCAAATCGAAGGAGAAGTCCATGTAGAGACTGATAACAATGTATTATTTATGGTCTTTAATATATTCCAGGCTATGTTGCTTTTCTCATGAGGTCATAAAAAATTTGTTTAAAAAATATAATAAAATTTTATATTTATAAAGATCAAATTAACTAAGTCAGAAATTAAAACACAATCCGTGATGGACAAACCAGTCATACCAGCAAAAATTCATTTTAGTATAAATTTAAAACTATTTTTATATTGTTTTGTCGATATTTTATTGAAGATTATATGAAATATTCTTAATTTTATATGTTAATCATTTCGTTTTCATGATTTAGTTTATGCTGGGTATCTAGGTAAGTAAATCGTTTATTACTTTAAGTAAGACAATGTGGTCTTGTTGTATTGAATATTTTAATTATGTGGATGAAAATAATCGTCGAGGTGACGATAATCATAATAAGTATACGATATATAGCAAAGAGCGAGAACATTAATTATATCCTATATATTGTGAATGAGTTGTTCGAAAATTGTTTCATATATTCTCTAATACTTAAATTATTGACACATTAAAGTTCATACTTATGCAAGTCATATGCTTCGAGCCTTATCGGCTAGCATCTTTAGCAACACTTTATTCCCTTACATTTCTAAAACATAATTGTTGTCATCAATCTCTTTAAGCTTAATGTATATAAAAATTTGTAAAAAAGCAGAATTAAGAAAGGGATCAAACGAAATCCGTAAATATAGCCTTCTTTCGTCTATGTATTAATTTTTGCTTAACATAATGCTGCAATCAACTTAATTTATATAAAACTATAGCAAAACATCTATTAATTTCTCACTTTTGTGGTAGGAAATTTATTGTGGTGGCTGATTGCTGTAGTAGCTATAAGCGCCGGGAGGTGGGCCTTGCGGTGGTGCACCAGGAGGTGGCATTTGTTGACCGCCAGTTGGCCGATAACCTTGATAGCCTTGAGGCGATGGTGGTGGATATTGACCTTGTGGGGGCATGGGGTCATAGCCAGATTGTGGCTGATGGTAACCATGTCCGGGATAACCGGCACCAGGCGGTCCATAGCCTTGTGGCGGAGGTGGTGCCCCGTAAGGCGGCTGGCTACCTGGTGGCGCTTGGTATTGGTTAGGTGCCATAGGCGGCGGCGGACCGGCAACAGGAGTGCCATTAGATGGCGGTGCCGTAGTATTTGGGGGCCCTATGCCTGCAGTATTCTGCTGTCCATAGGGCGAAGACGATGCACTAACACTAGTAGGTGGTGATGAATAGGTTGGTTGTGGACCATGTGGGGGACCCGTGGGTGGTGCCCCGCCACTCGACACAGTTGGATACGCTTGCGGTGCTTGCCCTGGTTGTGGCTGTTGCTGAGTCTGTGCCTGCCCAGGTGGCGGAGCTTGCTGATTAGGCGGTGGTGGAGGTTGAGAAGTATTTGTCGTGGTTACTGTCACTGATGAGCTCGTCGGTGGTGGTGCACTAGATTGAATGCTAACTGGAGGAGGTGGTCCTTGCGGTCCATTCGCCCCACTTGACGGTGGTTGCTGGTTAGGCGGAGGCGTTTGCCCTGGACTTGGTGAAGAACTGTAGCTGCTGCCAGGAGGAGGACCTGAACCAGCTTGTACATTATTTGGCGCCTGTCCAGATTGAGGCGGCGGCGGAACCTGACCAGGATAACCCTGTGGCCCTGAACCAGGTTGTTGATATGGTTGATATGGAGATTGCGCCCCACTACTTGGTGGCGGACCATAATTTCCAGGTGGCGCATTACTACCTTGTCCATAGTTATTAGGTGGGGGAGCTCCGTATCCTCCATAACCCATCGGCGGTGGAGGTCCCCCACTAGTATTTTGTGGCGGACCATATTGGTTAGGTGGCGGCGGCCCCTGCCCGCCAGTCGGAGGGCCATACATTTGGCCGGGAGCCGGTTGTTGCCCAGGTGCTACCTGCTGACTTGGTGGTGGCGGAACATAAGTTCCTGGAGGCGCTTGCTGAGCACTGCCGCTTGCATATGGATGTTGACCAGGCGATCCACTTGCTGCAGAAGCGGGCGGCATACCACTATGGCCATGATACCCGCTTTGGGCGCTTGGTGGCGGTGGTCCATAACCCTGTGCTGGGGGACCGTATGGATAACCACCTTGAGGAGGATATTGCGGCTGTTGTTGTGGTGGATAGCCAGGGTAGTGTGTATGTTGCTGCTGTTGTGGTTGGTAGCCTCCTCTGTATTGGCTTTGGGGAGGCGGTGGGCCCTGCTGTTGGGTTGGTGGTTGTTGCGGGCCCTGCTGTGTAGGAGGTTGTTGTTGCTGTTGCTGTTGTGGTGGTGCTTGCCCAGCTTGTACACCTGGACCACTGTTAGGTCGTTGCTGATCTGGAATAAAATAAAAAAGATCTTCAATATAATTATTTATTACAAAGAAGAAAAAAAAAAAAAAAAACACTGAATTCTTTAAGAAACATCATTCCATTTAGCTTAAAACATTGCTACAGAGCCAAACCCTCTTCGTTGATTTCAAGACTTACTTCCACTTGTGTTAGTATTGGGTGGCGGTGGTGGTTGTTGAGGACCACTCAAAGAAGTTTGTTGAGGCCCGGGAGCTTGAGGACCGCCTCTATAAGTATTTTGTTGCTGTTGCGGTGGAGGAGGTTGTTGAGCTCCAGACTGTTGCTGGCCTCCAGTAGGACCTTGTGGTGCTCCTCCACCGTTAGGTGGCATGCCGGGATGTTGTGGAACTTGACCACCGTATGAAAGCATTTGGGCCCCAGCTGGTGATTGGCCAGAGCTTTCGTGTTGCATTGGTGGCATACCACCCGCGCCAGGACCACCCATTTGAGACTGACTTCCCGGTGGTCCACCAGGTTGCTGTTGCTGAGGAGGTGGAGGACCTCCTGGTCCCATCATACCATGGGGACCTTGTTGATTAGCTTGAGCTTGCAGAATATGTGGCGGTGGCAAAATCTGATTAATATTCATTGTAGGATCAGCTAATTGAGCCAAGTATACGAGATTCCTATGCAGCGCCATATGATAAGTCATGCATTCTTGCGATTTTCCCATATTTTGAAAATCCTGAATAGTTTGAATGATGCCACAATTCTCATCAAGGATTTTTTGAATGTGAGCCGGGCTAGGCGGAGGTGGTACACCGCCTCGTTGCTGACCTGGTGGTGGACCTCCCATCATACCGCCAGGACCACCGCCTGGTCCACCCATCACACCTATAGGCGGACCGCGTTGCATTGGAGGACCGCCACCGGGGCTATTCATTCCCATTCCACCCCCACCTCCTGGGCCTATCATGCCACCACCAGGAACTCCTACTTGTTGTTGTTGCTGCTGCAGCGCATTTGGTGTTGACGGCTGAGGCGGTTGCAGCATTCCCGCCGGAGGTGGTTGCCCAGCTGCTTGCTGCTGCGGCGCTGGTTGCGGCGAATAGACTGCAGACATTTTACTGGCTGCAGCCTTCTTCTTCCGCTTGGGGGTTTTCTCCTGCTTTTCCACAATTTTGGCTGTTTTTATGTACTTGAGAAAAAAATCTATTACAACTAGTAATTTAAAATTAAAAAACTTTCTGAATCGTGTATCAACACTCTTCACTTTTATATAAACACTCTATACAAAGACTGAAGTGAAAAACACGTATAGTTTTAATTACACCGTCCGTGCAGTAGCGGCTTTTGTTGATTTTTCTTTTACTTAGCTCCTCGAAACGCTTTTTTCAAAGAACTTTTTTAATTTATTTTTCTTTTAAAACTTATTTACTAAATATTTAATTTTTGCAGATTTTGCTGTCTTCTCATTAAAAATTGTAATAAAAATATAATTAATGCAATTAAAACGACGCCTTAAACACACGAGCGCATTATCTGCAATTTACAAAATGAAGCCTCGTTTTCCTTAGTATTCAGAAAATGCAGTACTGCCAGATGGAAAAAAATCCAGAAGCGAAATTGTTTACCTTCACCAAACAAGAAATGTATCTCTGCTCTGAGCAACCCTTTTTAAAGAGAAGAAGAGGCTGAACGAAAAATCATGTTATAAAGTTTGAAGAAGTAAATGAAAGATAAAAGAAATTGCAAAGAATATTTGCATATACCAAAAAAGTACAGACTTGAAAATTATTAAGCAACGCTAACAAATTCAAAACGAAAACTTTGTAAAATAAAAAAGTCGTTTCCGTAACAAATATTGACGTCAAAAAAAAAAAATATTAAAGCAAAAATAAATTACAAGAAGTTGAGGGAAATATAAAGAGGGAGGAAAAGAGACTGAGATTTGTGCCGATTGGAGTGTAAGCAAGAATTAAAATAAATCTAACATTTTTACTTAGAGAATGTTTTTGCATTTTAACCAATGTTTAAAATAATTCTTTACACTTAATACTTTTGTCAATAATTTACATAAGCATTTCGTTAATAAAAAAAAAAAAAAAGCATCAGACTTGCCGCCTTTTCGACTTTCTGCAGATGGTGTTTTTGTAATTCCAAAAGAGAAGCAGATACTTTGTGTGCGTTTTTGTTTTGCTTTGGTCTTGATTATGTAGAACTTTCATTCTGGCTAAGTGTTGCCGCTAGTTCTGCAATTGTTTCAAAATTCTACAACACAATAATAATGCGGTTTTATTTAACACGAGCACTATGTAGTAGTATAACAATCAAAGAACCATGTAATTAAATTTTTGAATTTCATATCTTTTGTAAATATTTTCAACAATATTAGAGTATTGTGATTACATAAAATACTGTTTAAAAATGAAATAAGCGGCAACATTAAAATTGATATTGCAAAAGCGGCATTTGTAAAATGCAATATTGGTAAAGGGCTGCTTTTGCGGTTGCAGCTTTTAATCAATGATGAGTACTGTTGGAAAACAAATTTTGGAATTAAGCCAGAAATAAAATTAAGTTTTCTCTTTTGTTCTAAAGTATGGAATAGTATTTTATTTATTTAGTAGAAAAAAAAAATTTAAGGCTTTCTTTTTCAATTTCCAAGTAGAGCTTTTGGTGACTTCTTATCCAACTCTATTTTTTGATTGTCCTTAACTTGTAGCACGACTAGTGTTGCCGATTAGCTTACATTTTCTCATAACCTATTAGCACTGTAATATGCCAATTTTAGAGAAACGCAATATAAAAAAAGTTAGCAGAAAATCGGTTTCCTAAATTACTGTATTTTATTATTGCAAATATTTTTCTGAACGCTTTTCAAATGTGATAAATGGACGCTCAGTGACAATGTTAAGGGTGATGATGCCAAAATATTGAACGCCGAATTGTGAGATATATGGAGGATTATTTTTGTAGCTGTAGTTTTCAGCGTCAAAAATAAGTACCTCTAAGTAAAAATTCGTATATATAGTAGTTTTTCGTTTATAATTTTTTAAATTCTTTACATAAGCATTGTTTCTAAACAAGCAGTATTTGCCGTCTTCTTCGTATCATGCGGATATTTTTTTAATGGCAAACGAAATGTGGAGATATATTTCTCAATTATGAAATATCATTAGTTTCAAATCCATCTAAGATTGGTCAAAAGCGATATTTCTATTTTGTTTTTAATGTAATATAGATAGATTGTGGCCTTCAAAGAACATCATAAAATTCTTAAATTTTCAAGTTTTTAATTGCAACCAATTTTTAGAATATAATATAAATTGTGCGAATACTGACAGAGAGAAAATGTGAGCGGCAACACGGAAACTGGCTTTACAAAAGCGACGTGTATAAAACGTAACTGTGTTAAAGAGTTGTTTTTGCAGCCGTAGTTTTAATATCGGTGATGAGTGCTTTCGTTGTTCTTATAAAATAAAAACATAAATAACAGCGGGTAAATACGTGCATTAATACAAATTTATATAAAAAGTAATTCGAATATATTCGAATACATTCTGAAAACAACTACAATCACGTGAAAAGTGACCAAAGCAATCTGAAAATAAAATATTGATTTTATTGTTCGTTTTATTATTACCGTTGGCCAAACAATTCGCGCGGTCTCGGTCTTCCAAACAGTCTCGTACTCTTTAAACTTGCCCTCCCTCTCATTTCTCATCTGCTTTCTTCTGTATGCCTGACTATTTTTCCTCTTTACAACCCAACAAACCAAATCGTGCCAATAATTTTTACTGTTTGCAGAAAGTTTTTACATCTTGTGTACATTATAGAGATTTAGAATTTCGTATATATATGTTGAACTTTGGTAAGACACATTCTTACCAATGCTTTCCCTTGTTCAAATGAAATTCCGCGCATTATTGGTACTTTTATCAAAAGTATGGACGTGCATCTGTTTTATGTTCAATCGTCAAGTCAGAGCTGTAAGTATATTACATTTTATACTTTGTTATAACATAATTGGTTTGTAATTCAGTTTCATATAATGCTTGGATTTTACTAAAACTTACTAGTAGGAAAAATTGGCAAAATCTTGAACACCTCGATATAGTTTAATGGTTCCTGACAAGCATATTAGAAATGCGGTACTGAGGTGTGCAGATTTATAAAAAGTTTTTGAGAAATGTCGAAATTAAAAATTATTTTTCAAATATATGTCTTAACATTCATTGCTAAAAAAGAATTTGTACCTTCTTCAAATAAGTACCTTACGCAACATGCAAGTAACCTAAGCTATCTCAAGAATTTTAGTCATACAACGGTTACGATGGGATTGAAAAAAACCACCCCCATGTGTATTGAATACATATGTAAGATCAACATTCATATGACTGTCTCAATCAATTTATGTTCTTTTGTACCCACACCTACAGCACTATCATAACATTATCTTTGCTATTAGATTTAAAATATTTTCGAATTTCTAATGTATTTGGAGTTACTAACGTAACATGGGAGAGAGACCTGAAAATGTTAGGCAGGAGTGAGAAAAATGAAAAATGCTTGGATTTTAGACAATATATTAAATGTAATAAATTTAATAGGAGATGATCGCAATTCTCAATTCGTCAAAAGCTGGAGCAGCAGCTAAAATAATATATGAATATTAGTTTAATTTACTTAAAGATACAAAAGGCAATACTAATTACGCTATATTAGGGTAACTGCGTAAAACAGTATGTGGGAGGCAGTCAGATTTCTTAAAGATCACTTGCTTTTTGGCAATGGAAAGAACTAAAATCTAAGAACTAAGTATGTGATATGAAGTCTATTTACTAGTTTTAACACTCCCTGTCTTCCGTATGAGTAGGAAAATTGGTGATTGGAAAGTATTTTCCCTGGAATAGACACATTACTACCCCATTTCAAGACTTCTGCCTATCGATTACGCAATGAGAATTTCATAGGGGAACAAGAGCGAGTTGCTAAGTTGACAATTCTTCTTTTTAGACTAGAATGAAGGCGGCTCTCTCTCTTCAAAATTATGATTACAAGAGATCTGCGTTTATTTGGAAGAGGGTATAAAAAGGAACACATTTTCACGAATTTTGAAGCAACATCTCTGGTTTTGCGATTTCCACAATATCTTTACTTAAAAAAGGGGAGCTTTTCCCCAACCACGGAGAACTAAAAAAAAAAAATTTGTGCGTTTTACTTAGGTGACGCGTTTTGTTATGCAAACACTACTATATTCTACTCCATGATTACTAGATAAGTAACTTTTGATAGATGTAATCGAAGAAGGAGCACCACCAATGTGTAGTTTCGTCTATACACTCTAATGAGATCTTTTCGAGATCTCATAACACGACTTCTCTCGAACGACATTGGTGCAGACCAGTTCGTGTTGAGTTGAAAAATTAGAGCTGGGCGGGTAAATTATCCCGGAGTTGCCTACAGTGAGCAATATTGGAAAATTCAATATCTAAGAACGAAATAGAAAAGAAATTTAAATTCTTGAGTGATTACATGAAAATTTCCTATAAATGAAGAATGTATTGTTTGATATTCTTTGCATTCCTTTTTATAACTATTATTATATACAAGTATTATTGTTATCATGCAAATGATATTGATAAACTGGGTTTAAACAACTTGAAGACATCAACAATAAAAAAGAAGAAGAAGAAAAGAAGAGGAATACTCAGGAAACAAATAGGTATTAAAAGAATAAATGGAAAAGTTTTGCCAATGATAATTCATCTTTCTGGTAGACCATAAAGTTACACAGTATGTTCATTAAAAAAAAAAAAACCCAAAAATTTTAATATGGAATTGCGTTTCAATTTTTTGATTGATCAGTCATTTTGTCAAATTTTTTTTATCACAATAAAACACATTCGAGGTAAGATGTTAATAGCCGTCTCAGTAGTGAAAGCAGCTTAACAAGCCAATATTGAAATGAAAATTGGAGCCGTTCCAGTTGCGAATACAAACCGCATCTTAGAAAGTTGAGGAGCTTGTTTGAAGTGGTTTCCGAAATAGCAAAGTTCATTTCTAGAAATAGCAAAATCAACAATATTTCAAGATACGTTATTTTAGTGGAGTCTGTCTCTCTAAGATAAATGAGCTTTATTTGACAGGAGCTAGTGCGCTCAGCTTTTATATGAAATACCTAATTCACAAGTCCACATGTGGTGACGTTAAGGTTTACTGAATGCTAGCTTATTCCATTAGTCGTTTGCAAAAATTTTGATCACTTGGTCACTTGGGAACGGCATATATTTATTTTAGAAAATTGATACAATATCTATTAATCAAAACAGTTTCCATCAACATTTATACAGCATGTCACAATACTTTTGGCAACATGGCGATATCATGTCGAAAAAACTTATGTTGGTTTGGCGGCAATTCACGCACCGATCCATTTTCGCTCTTCTTTATCTGTGCGCGTGCCAGCCAAGCCATGCTGCATCGATCTGAACAAGTGTTAAGCAGGGGTCGCCATGTCTGGTGGGCAGGCTAGATGTGGCAGAACTTCCCATTGCAGCTGCAACAGTCTATCTTGGACAGCTCTTGCAACAAGTTGGCTAGAAAATCGCAGGTTCAGTTAGTTCGTGTCGCCACTTTTAATCCGTTGAGCTCAAAACCGACAATTGGGGTACGATGGAGCAGCATCACCATAAGCTTCTGAACGGGTTTGATGGGGTTCGGCAGAAGATTTCTTTAAATAAATAACAAGAAGTAATGAATTTTTTTAGAAGAAGAAGATATAAGTAGAGGAATATCAAAACCATTGAATTCATACGTTGTGCACACTGGTTTTTCCTATTTCTTTATCAATTTTTACCTATAGAAGTTGCTGATCAAAATTTTTGCAACCACCTAATAAGTGAAATCAATTAAAACAATGTACAGAGCGGAGTTAAAAGGAAAAGATAGAGAGTTGTTTTTATTTCTTGAACAAACTTGACGAGGAAAAGCTATAGGATAAATTTATTTTAGCAAATAAATAGTCTCAACGTGGATAGCGGACAGCGGATAGTGGATAGTAGACAGGGGATAGTGAATATGGCGGGCCCGTTCTGAAGCGAAATATGATAACGTATTTATTTATTTTATTTAAATTTCAAGTTCGATTTCGTTGTTGTATTGCATTGATTTGTTGTATTGCAAGAAAAAAAAAAAACATTTTTAAAAAAAAGAAACACTGATATGAACCACTTTAGTTTGTCCAGTATCAACCTGTCAAATATGAATTGTTTCCGCTGTCTCCGGTTTCGCGGCATCGGCTCAGTATTGTGCATCGGAAAACGCTCGTTTTGGATTTAGACGAAACGCTGATTCATTCACATCATAATGCGATGCCCAGAAATACAGTCAAGCCCGGGACGCCACATGATTTCACAGTAAAAGTGACCATCGATCGTCATCCGGTACGATTTTTTGTGCATAAAAGGCCTCATGTCGACTTCTTTTTGGATGTTGTAAGTTCTTTAAACCGATGAATATCATACAAGCATCATGAAATTAAATTAATATATATATATGTGTATATATAGGTGTCTCAATGGTACGATCTAGTGGTCTTTACCGCCAGTATGGAAATTTATGGCGCCGCTGTTGCCGATAAATTAGACAATGGTCGTAATATATTAAGACGTCGCTTCTATCGTCAACATTGTACGCCAGATTATGGTTCATATACCAAAGATTTAACAGCGATTTGTAACGATTTGAATAGAGTAAGTATGAATTAAATTGCACGCCCTAGTCTTATTTTCTTTCATTCTATAATCGATAATTTGTTTGTTTTATGAAATTTACAAGATATTTATTATTGACAATTCACCGGCCGCATATCGTTGTTTTCCCCACAATGCTATACCCATTAAAAGTTGGTTCTCCGATCCAACGGATGTGGCGCTATTATCATTGCTTCCTATGTTGGATGCCCTTAGATTTACGAACGATGTGCGTTCAGTCCTATCACGAAATCTACATTTACACGGTTTATGGTAGCAGGTAAATTAACATAAAACATATTTAACGTTCAAATTTTATTTGATTTGATTTGATTTGATTTGATATAATTTATCAAATCTGCGAAAGCAAAACATTACATTATCATGTATCTATCTATCTTTCTCCTAAATCTAGATCAACAAATTAAAAATTTGGTGCTGTGACACTTGAACGAATTTGTTTATGATTTCATTATACTTGTATTGTTTTATATAAAAAAAAAAAAAAAAAAAAAAAAAAAATATGCTAAGAGTTATAACAACAGCTACAAAGAACACAAAAAGTAAATCATAATGACTAAGGCAAAGAAAAATTAAAAACATTAAAAACTGACGTAAACGGAGAAGCTGAAGTAACATTTTCGGTAATGAAGAAATGGAGATATGAAGATGAAGGCAAACGCGAAAGCGAAAGCGAAGGCAAAGATGAAAACGAATGAATTCTTCCTTCCTGTCTTTACTGGGATTGAAGTGAAGGATTGCGAAGGTATATGATTATTAAATATTAATAAATAAACTGACGGTACACGTTATAATTGTTATTTAACAAAATCAATTGTGAAAATTTTGTAATTTTTTAAACGCCATTTCAAAGACACCATTGTAAACTTCTTCGATGATTGCTGGTAGGCGAGCAAGTTCGGTGTTCTTTTTATTTTTTTTTTATTTTTTTTATTTTTTTTAAATATATATTATATGTTTATATAAGTACATCATACATTATGAATTATTTCTCTAATTAAATATTTATATCATTTAAGTTCTATTTACCTTTCGGAAAAAAAAACTTTAGATTTTAAGTGAAATTAACTTTGAAAAAATTCACAATTATTTATATGTTTACAGATTTTTTTATAATGTAATTAATTATTCTTTTTTGAAGCCGATAAGAGGAAATGAATGAATAAAGTACTTTTTTGTTCTAATTTAGTTAAAAATTAAGTATTTTTCATAAAATGAAGTATAAAAAAAAAAAAAAAAAAAAAAATGAAAAAATATATAAATTTATGAATTTATGAAAATTTATTTAAAAAAATTTTTATTGAATTTAAATGAAAAACAAAACTAGACTGTAAGTGAATGATATCCAATCCAAACATATGTGTTTAGTAATTTAATTTAAATTAATTTTCTTCCTCGTAATTCAATAGACAATATCTATATATAATTTCAAGACGTAATAAGACCACCAAATATGAAAGAAAATTTTTGTTTAAAAAAACTCGTCTCTTAGTTTTATTTTATTTAAGTTATATTTATTTAAACTGTATTCTTGATTTTAAGTCAATTAATATAAAACAAAAAAAACAAAAAAAATAACCAATGGAAATATATACAAGTGTGTATGTACATAAATCTACATTACAATAATATAATTTAAAATTTTTTTTTTTTTTTTTTTTTTTTTTTTTTTTTTTTTTTGAACTATTTTTTGCTTTTTTATTACACGGATACTCAGGGAATACCCCTAAGTTCTATAATCATATTTTTTTTCTCACAATCTACTCATTATTTTGTATTAGCGAAAATGATTTCTTTTCGTTTGTTATGGCGACCACCTTAAATTGACCTATTAATCCATCAAGTGACGCATACTGTTGCAAGAGATTTGACGATGATTAGCCGAATGCACAAGAGGAATAATAATTGGTTTTTCGCTTCTCAGGACAACGGACCTTCGGTGTCCGGCTTGTCACCACAATACCCAGTAGCAGTAGTACAAAACTTCGGTCGAACAAATTAATGAAAAGAAAACATGATGTAACAAAATCAAGCCTTTAATTGCAATTACATGTTTACCTTTTTCATTATGAAGCGAATTGTAATTAGTAAATTATAGAATTATTCAAAACTCTGCTGATACAGTAAAATGAGCGAAATATTTGCCTTGAAAGTGGCTTCAGCGTCACTTTGAAAGCTTTAAACTGATATGAAGTGCAGTGCATTATATACAATAGGATATATTGATGAGATAAAAATCACACATTTTCCTATTAATGCAATGTATCCAATTCGATTAGCATCGTTACGTTCGCGAGTTCTCGTGACAAAGCCTCGACAGGATAAATTCAGTCCAAACGAAATGAAAAAGAGGAAAATTCATTTCAATTAAGGAGAAAACGGGATGTTTCGAAGGCTGAGAAGACAATAAGCGAACAGCCAAAACCGTTAGATTGGATGAAAATATGTCGGGCGATATTTTTGGGAACTGCAACATACAAGATGTTGTCCAAGACTTCAATGTGTAATGATATAATTTTAAAAACTTTGTGAATCTATAATATAACAATACGGAAGACAGGACACAATGTTAAATAATTCGATTGAATTATTGCACTGTGTCCGCTAAGACTAATTGTTTTAAATTTCTTCGGTGCACGTCTGTGCGCATATGTAACACTTAGCACGTTCACAAACGTGTCTGCGAAGTGTAAAAATAGGCCCATTCTTGCCTAAATTAGTTGTAATACCTGAAACCTTATTACAATTATTATTATTATAATTATTTTTTATTATTATATTGAGAAATAGAAATCAAAACCTTTGCGAGGATTCGCCTCGTCCATGCGATGCCAATACACAGAATAAACGCGTAAGAAATTTTTTTCTCTATTCAGCAATTGTGGACAAATTCTCACAATAAAGCAACTCCTCTCTTTGTGATTGTTGAAATTTTGTTTTTATTAGAAGAATCACGTTCGGAACAAATAATCCTATGGACATCCGAAAATCAGCTGCACAACGTAATATCAATTATTGGTCTCAGTATGTAATTGTTTTATTCAACTTGTCATAGTGTTTGCAACGCCCAAAGCGGAACTTCAGCGACCCTACAAAGTATATGCATCTAATTCGGAATCGATTAAACAATGGTGTGTGTGTGTCCGTGCGATGAGTGTTGTTGACATTCTCCCGGTGACAAAAATGGAGGTATCAATTTTGGTAAAACCATTGCGGGTTTTGGGCACGCAGGTTGGTATTGAAAGTGAGAACCCGCTCACCATACAACGTAAGAAAGGAATTGTTATTCTTTTTAATGGTTTTCTGATTGTTTCCAATTCTTCTTCCTTGGCTTAGTCGCTTTTGCTCTTCTATCATCTCCCCTAGATGTATATATAGTGTTTTGGAAAATACGCGAACTAAACTTATTTAATTACATTTGTTCGCTGAAAAATTTGGATGAAATTCGAATACACAAAAGAAATCATTGCAAAAATGTAACAGCGTCATAATTAATGGCAAAAGAATAATGCAATTCTTGAATTGCATTGAGTTAAATTTTCGTTAAAACGGCTAAAAGCCGCCATCCCTTCCTGATAAGAATTCCCCTTTGTTGAGAATGAAGAAAGCACAGAAATTACAGAGCTGTTTTCAATGAATTTCCTGTTGAAAGGCAAAGTACAGAGTCGCTTATAATAAATAAATGGTTAAAAGCCCAACTTAACAACTTAAATGGTAACGCCATTCAGCTATGTTAAATGTCCAATTTAATAGGAAACAAAGATTCAATTCTGTTAAAATGCAAAGCCGTCCGCAAAACAAAGGAAAACTTTGGGATATTTAGTAACTAATGTTTATTTATTTTTTATTAATAAATGTATGTTTTCATATAAACTTTCTTAATTTTGTTGAATTTTACAAATTCTACAATTTATTTAGTATCTAATGTTTCTTTATTCTTTTTTATAAATGTATGTTTTCATATAAAATTTCTTAATTTCTTTCATTTTATTTTATTTATTTATTTTTTTTTTTGGTATGTTGAACAGAGATGGACTAAGCCAATAGATTTGTGGCTCATATGTCGATTTCTTTCATTTTACAATATTATTTATTAATAAATGTATGTTTTCATATAAAATTTCATAATCTCTTTTATTTTACAAGTTAGCTTAGAATTAAACCGTGATAATTTTTAAAACCAAGTCCTCGGTAAATTCCCTGTTGAAAGGCAAAGCACAGGGTCGCTTATAATAAATAAATGGTTAAATGCCCATCTTACCAACTCAAATGTTAACTCCAATCAGCTATGTTAAATGCCCAACTTAACAGACCAAAGGGATTCAGTGCTGTTAAAGGCAAAACCGTCGGCAAAGATTCAATTCTGTTTATTTGCGGTTAAACGCCGGTCCACTTAAGTGCGATTGGTTCGTGTCTTGCAACAGTACAATAATGGATGGAACAGAATCGAAAATTACAACCTAAGCATAGATTGCTGTCTTTACTAATATGAAGTATTTAATTTCAACTTGTTCCATGGACTACAAATAAAGTAAATTATATATATATGTACTAAATAAATGACTGAAGAAGAAAATAAAACAAATGTTTTTTCAGTGCAGAAAACATCAACCTTGTGCATATTATTTCATTACTTTGTATATATTAGCTACGTTAACATCTGATCTCAGCTTTGCATGTACTACAGAAAAAAAAATTGTGTATGTAAAGACATTCGTGTATGTCATGTAAAAGTGGTAAAATTATAAACAATTTGTGGTAAAATATTGGTAACATATACATACATTTTCACTAGTAAATTTACAAATAAATTAGCGTAAAAACATTAAGAGTTAATAATGCAAATGGATGGAATGGATTCTGTGATGTCAATTGCCCTTCACTTAATTGCAATCAATTTTATTTTTAATAATTTTGTTTTTTGTTTTTTTTAGATGAAACAAGACTAAGTATATGAAGGGTAAAATAATTAAAGATTAACATGGATTCCAACTCGACGCAGCTAGACGCTACGGCAGCGGGACGCAAACGTGCTAAGCGCCCACAACCCAATAAAAATGAAAATAGTAATAAAACTTCCACACAATCTCAATTTTCAACTTCTAATAATCAACAAATTGGAATTTCAACTCTGTCAGATCTTAACCCCGAAGAATCATCATTAAATAATAGCAACAATAATAATACTACTAACACAAATAACAGCAGCCTTACGGTGGAATGCCGGCGTAGTTCTAGGAAAAAAGTCATCAAGTTCGATGTGAGAGATTTATTGAACAAGAACCGCAAGCCACATAAAATACAAATTGAAGCACGTATCGATTCCAACGCTCCATCGACTAATAAAGTGGTGTCTAGCAGTATGTCCAGCGAGGGCTTAGCAACAGCGTTCATTGGGTCTTCCTCGTCAGAAGAGATATCAGTTAAAAAGAAAAATTTTATGGAGAAATCTGCTTTTTTTAGACGTTTTTCAATATCAGCTGAACAACCTAAACAGCCGCCTCAGTTGCCTATTCCGCCTGTATTATTAAATAAAACTCCGGTAATTCAAGATTGTATTGAGCAGATGAAAATAAAACCTAGTTCCAGTTTGATATTGGCGCAAATGGAAAGCACATCTAGCACTGCTGGGTTTACTCGAAAACAACAGTCAACGTCAGCGAAGATGGTGGGAAGCGAAAAATTACAGAAACGAACTGAAGAAACCGTAGTTGCTGCACCGCAGCAAAGAAAGCGTGGGAGGCCTCCTAAGATTAAAACCCCTCTTATATCGCATTCGGATACTATCGAAAAAAATTCACAAATTTCAAGATCAAGTGATCATGTTAACCAATTAACACCAGAAAAGGCTAGAAATTGGAAGGAATATAAAGCAGCTCTACAGCAAACAACTACGACCAAAGGCTTACCAACAGTATCTTGTACAAATGTAGTTAGCGAAGTAGTTACGGTATCGACAACAACGGAAAGCACAGAAACTGAAGCGTCTTTAAAGACATTTGAGAGAATGGATGTTGTTCTTAATGCTTTTACTGCGCCCGATGTAACAGAAGCAACTGAGGAGGAAATTGTTGCTGAATGCGTTGATTCTATAGAATTATGCGAAACAGCGAATTCCATTCAGCAGGAAGTGCAGTGTTTATCACCTGTGTCTCCTATCATTGGAAAAACGTCGTTAAGTCGCACTTCTAGCAGCTCTGAAAGTGAAAATTGTTCAGAACGAAGTATTAATTCGTCTGGCGGTAGCAGTACGCGTTCTTATAGATCTGGTGATAAATTGAGAGTCAATTTGAAGCGGATGTCTTTGCACAAAACTAAATTAAATCCAACTGCTTCTTATTCCAACCAACAGTTAGGAATCGAGAATGATGTAAATGAGGATGTAAAAACAGAAAAGAATACCAATATTATTTCAACAGCGGACATTACTAAAAGCTTATTGTTAGAATGGGAAGAAGATTTACAAGAAACGCTCACAAATGAAAAAAAAGAACAGTTATTAGAGGAAAGCCAAGAAGTAATGGTCAATGTAGCGGAAGATCAACAAATCGACGACGATTTAATTAAAGATACTTTTCAAATCGAAGAAGTATTCGATGCTAAACAAAACCCACTCAAGTCAAATCAAGGCAACGTTGAGGGAATAATCAAAGGGACTGAAATTTCCAGCGATGCCAGCGTCATCATTATCGACGATTCTTCCATTTCAAACAGTGAGATATACACGAATTTAAAATCAATGGATATAGTAGAAGATAAAGATGTTAAAGAGTTTAATCAGTCATCAGCAGAAACGAAAAGTTCTCTCCTAGCTGGAGAACCGCAAGATCTAGAAGGGACAAAAACTACGGAAGAGCCAAAGCAGATTGATAGAGAAATTGTTAGTGAATATCATCCGATTTCGACAGAAATGGATAATGAAATAACGCAGGAGACGACTGCGTCGTCGAGCACTGTACTTACTGAAGACTTCATTTCAGAAGCGGTCGTTATACCAGTTAGTCCTACGCCAGAAGAATGTCCTGTTGCGGACGAGCAGAGTGAAGTATTAATAATTAATAAAATTTCTGCTCAAAGGAAAGCACCAGAAATGCCATCAGCTGTTGCTGAAGATACTAAACAGGTGACAACAATACCTAAAAAAAGGGGAAGGAAACCTCGTTTTAGAAATTTGCATGAACCGGAGTTGTTGGAAAAAGTTGTAGCTAGTACTATAACCAAGAAAGAGATTATAGAGTCATCAACATCAAATAACTTCGATCTTAGAACAGTGCAAGATGCGGCAGAATGTAATGTAAAAGTGCAGCCCATATTTGGTACAGAAGTCGTAAGTTCCCAAACTGTGCACATTCCAAGCCAAAGGAGTGAGTATCAATATTTTGAAAAAGAATCGTTAAACAAAAGCGCGGAATCTGAAGAATATGAGGCGCAAATAGCAAACGTAGATATCATCAAAACTACTGAATACGAAGAGGAAAAAAAAAGTACAACAACTGAACCTCTGTTAATTCCGTTAGATGTAATTGCAACACAGCAAAGCGACTTAGAAATAGAAGAAGAAAAGAAAAGCAAATCAAGCGATGTAAACTCTGGGTTAGGGATGGCAGTCGTTGATCACAAAAATGTTACGGACGCGATATCTAGCCACGAGGAATTAAAGGCGGAAAGTAAATCGCTAAACACCTTGTTGACGAATGAAATAACTGAATGCGAGATTGATATGATTAGAAAGAAGGATGGTTCGTTTTCTTTAAACCTCAACGATAATTGTCAAACCTTAAGACCCGAACTCGATACGAACGTTATTCATCAAGTAGACATTGAAACAAATATGCTTTTAGACATATTACGTCAAGTTCAAACCAATACTGAAGCAAATGAATTGAGAGTTAAAAATAAAACTGATACCGGGGTTATTACCGAAACTCTCAATAATGAAAAACTTTCCCCCAATGAAGGAAAGCCAGCTTCTTGTAACTTATGGAAAAAAGTCGATACGGATTCGACCTCATCTAACAGTTCGTCGATACGATCAGAAACGGCGTCGCCTTTAACCTTTAAAAAAGTTATAAGGCGTTGCGATAGACGCAATCATCGTAGTGAAGAATTGACAAATAAAACTTTAGAAGAAACTTTTGCCGAAATCACTGCTCTTAGCTCGAAAATTACTCTCGAAGTAACTGCCAGTGATTTGGCGGAAGAAAAAAAAGATATTGTAGAGCGCGACGAAGATATTAGCAAAGGTAATGCTGATATTGCTGAGGAAGAGTCATTGATCGGTGAAACTAAGAAAGAAAAGGATAATATTTTAACAACAGCGGCGGAAGAAAATTTGATAGCTTCTTTGGAAAAGCCAAAATCTCAAGAAGCAAAAGCTGCAATGGGTAAAAGAGGTCGCAAACCGAAAAATAAACCAATATACATCGGCCCGTCTTTACTTATTACTACATTGACATCGAAAGAAGAAAATGAGATCAAAAATCAAGAAATTTTAATGAATAGAGAAGAGGTGGAAGAGCCAGGCAAATGTAACAAAATGGCAAACAAGCATATTTCAATACCTATTAGTTTGGCAGGCGTCTCCGATGAAAACCTAATTTCCTTTCAAAGTGAAGACGACGATGCAAAAAAACAAGAATTTCCAATTGATTCACATATTGTTCCAAATACCTTAAACAATAATTTAAATGCATCTCAAGAAGGGTTATCAACGATTCCTGTCGGAAATGAAAATAACGTTGTCAAGCTTTCCAATCAGAAGCGTGACTTATCAGCTAATAGAAAACAAGACATTAAGAATTCTGCCAAGAAACAATCAAAGAAGTTGAAAAGCAATCAAGAAGATGTTTTATTACTCACCAATGATGACTCAACTTCGAAATCGTCGAAGTCATCCAGCTCTGCACCAAAAAGGGGTAGGAAGCCGAAGAATCAATCCCATAGCCTAACGGAGCAACGAAGTACAGCAAATGCTACAAATAGTGGGAAAAGGAAGGGTAAAAAAGATGCAAAGGTAACTTCGGTAGACGACAGTAAAAAACCGAATGTATATCCCGAAAGTTTGGAAGATAGTCAAAAAGATGTAGACGCACAAAATTTTGGTGTGGCAGCTGATAAAGTGTTGGACGAAAAGTCAGCTAAACGTAAACGTCAGAAGAGACTGAAAAAAGACTTTGAGGCGGCTTTAATTGATGACTTCAATAATAAAGAATCCTTAACGTTATTATTGGGTTTAAACGAATCTACATATAGCGTTAGTTCCCCTAAAATAACGAAAGAGCCGCTTCATACCGAAACCATCCGAGAGACCATCAGCGTGTCCACCGTCTGTAACACAGGAACGCCAGATATTGAAGAAGATCCTGACCCTCTTAAAGATATTGAAAAATTTATAGAGGCCGGTGTCAATTTATTGAAGAAAGATTACAAAATTGATGAGGATAGTATGGACGGGTGCATTCCTAACAAATCTGTAAATAAAGAAACCGTTGCGGGGGACTTAGAAAAGGTATTTGCAGAAAGTGCCTTGCAAACCGTCAATAAAATTACACAAGAATATACTGAGGTGACAAACGTTGTCAACACTTTCGAAACTCCTGTGGATACACCTATTGCTACGCCTTCGGCAACGCCACCTCCTAAGAGTCCGATCAGTAGTGATACCTTCACTACACCAGATGAAGAGATTTTTGGTGTACGCCGCTCCCACCGTATTAAGCAAATTACGAAAGCTCCTAAGGCTCTCGTGGGTCGAGGCTTGGTGCGCGACCGGGAGCGTTTCTCAATTAAAGATGATGTCGAAACGAAATCGCACTATACTCTTGATGACCATCTTACTGATTTGGCTGAAGTAGAAGCGAAAAATGCAAAATTTCTTAAAGAAATGGAAGAACGCTTAAGCAACTTTCAGGTGATTAAGGAAAACGAGTATAAGTGTGAACGGGTCATCAGTAGGGAAGCTCGAAAAATGATTTGCGATTGTTTCCTTACGGCTGAAGAAGAAGAACGCGGTGAGTTGGGTTGTGGAGAGGATTGTCTAAACCGCTTATTAATGATTGAATGCGGGCTTGATTGCAATGTTAAGGAACGCTGCACCAATAAGCGATTCCAAAAGTTTTTATGTTCACCTTGTCGTGTGTTTCGCACAGAAAAAAAGGGTTTTGGCATAATGGCCGACATTGAAATACTGCCCGGTGAGTTTATAATGGAGTATGTAGGTGAAGTGATTGATAGTGAGGAGTTCGAAAATAGACGTCTTACGTACTCTCGCGACAAGAATCGTCATTATTATTTTATGGCACTGCGCAGTGACGCCATCATCGACGCTACTATTAAGGGTAACATTTCTCGTTTCATTAATCATTCCTGTGATCCTAATGCTGAAACACAAAAGTGGACCGTGAATGGTGAATTGCGCATTGGCTTCTTCAGTCGTAAATCGATTATGCCAGGTGAAGAGATAACATTTGATTACCAATATCAACGATACGGTCGCGAAGCTCAACGCTGTTATTGCGAATCAGCCAATTGCCGCGGTTGGATCGGTCAAGAGCCCACTTCAGATGAAGGTGAACAGATTGATGAGGAATCGGATGAGGAAGAGGAGGAAGAGTCATCGCATTTACTGGTGCCAGATGACGACGACGAGGACGATGACAGCGATGCTAGCATTGCTGATCCTGAGGAAGTGCAAAAGAAACTTGAAATGGCGGCTGCCCAAGCTGAAGCTGAATTGGGTTCTATAACTATTGAAGAGAATAAAGTTAAAGGAACTGAAAAGTCTAACTTAGACGATATTGGTAAAAAAGAGGAAAAGGGAGACTCTGGCAAAGCTTCCCAGACTGAAATTGAAATTGAAGATTCCAAGAGTAAATTCAAGAAGCTCCTAAATAAAATGGCCGAAAAGGTAGCCGCTAAACAGAAACAAAATAAACGGCAGCAAAAATTAGAACGTAAACGAAAAACCGAAAGCGCTACTCGAGAAATGGGTTCAAACAAGCAGCGATTTTTGGAAGATCCCGATATTGAGGATGAAGTTGAATTTCTGAAACGCTGCGGCCTTAAGAATCAATCTGACACTTTACGTTTGTCTCGCTTAATGGTAAGAGCTAAACTTGTTGAAACCCGTCTCAACTTGCTGGAAATTTTGGGAAAAGGGGAATTACCATGTCGCCGCCTTTTCCTAGATTACCATGGTTTACGTTTGGTTCATGGCTGGATGAGCGAAGATGGAGGTAATATGCAGATGCGCCTCGCTATACTGCAAACTTTAGAAACGCTTCCTGTTACCAATAAGACTGTTTTAACTGATAGCAAAGTTTTACGAGTAGTGCGCAATTGGTGTGGCTTGAATGGACCCCTATCACCAAATGATGACTCTTCTAAAGAATCTTGTGGTGGCGGTCTCATCACGCAAGATGATCGAGCAATCCACGGCGTTGGAGAATCGGATTCCCAATTAGCGGAGGTGGAAAGATTGGGTTGCAATTTGATAGCCATGTGGGATGGTTTGCCGGAGATATTTCGCATACCAAAGAAGGAGCGCATCGAACAAATGAAAGAGCATGAACGCGAAGCTGATCGTCAGTACGCAGCCACCGCTGAGAGCGAAGCGAATAAGAATTTTACGGATCGTTATCAACGTGACCGTTTCGGGCGAGGAACAGCATCATCGGCGTACAATCGCTTTGTTAAGCCTAACAGCACAAAAATTACTAATACATCGGCTGGGGGGAATAATACAAACAGAGCCCCTGTTGGAAATCCATCTGAAAGCGTCAAAAACCTTTCGAAGGCTCAACGCCGAGAAATGTTTGCAGCCAAAGTAGCACGTGAAGAGGCAGATAAACGTTTGGCCGAAGAACGTCGAGAGTGTGAAATTAAGTGCCGCTTTTTTGGTTTAGATCCAAAAAAGACTAGGCATCAGGATATACCATTTTGCGTTAATCCCCAAACGGGACAATGGTATTCAATGGATCGAAAGCCTATTCCTACTCCACCCAGTTACGCCCATATTCAAGTACCCGTAAAGCCGAAATCAACTGATCCGGCAGATTATCAGTTACCACCAGTTGTTGCCACTTTGCCACCTCATTGGAAATTTGCCATTACACCTCAAGGCAAAATCTATTACTATCACATTAAATATCGAATTTCGCAATGGGAGCCACCGACTCCCACTCAGATGCAAAATAGCGAAATAGAAGAGGATGACGCTGATTCTGATAACGAACTTACGAACGCTGGCGATAGCAGTGAGGACGATGATGAAATATTGATTGGTATGGATGAGGCTCAGTTGAAAGCGTACATTGACAAGAAAGTAGAAGATAGGCGTCAAAAACGTTATCAACGTTTGGTCGATGAAAAATCGATTAGTGTAAGAAGCAATAATAAACTATATGCGACATAAGTATTATATATATATATATATATATATATTAATTTGTTGTATTTTGCATTGCAGCCACGTCGCGAAGAGGACCGCATCTACAATCAGATGGAAGTGCGGAAATATAAGGAAAATAAAGAAAAAATACGCAAACGTAAAGAAGAAATTCGGCGCAAACGAGCCGAAGCTCTGCGGCAAACAACTGCTAATTCAAGCAATGTAGGACTGGCAGTGGAATCAACTAATGCTGCAAGTAAATCGCAAAATGAGAGTGTCGACGAAGTAGCAGGTGTTTTGCCAATACAAGACTATTTACTGTCCTCAGACGAGGAAGAAGCTGACATTAAAACTGAGTGTAACAATAGCCCGTTAATAGACAAAATTGTTGAAGGAGATAAGATTGTGGATGAATTAGATGCTTTGACTACCAAACGACCATTGAAAAGAGTGTTACCACCACATCGTGGCTTGGAAGAGGCTTCTACTAGTTCAGCGTGTACAACGACAGCCTCTGAAAAAACTGAAAGTAAAAAACGCAAATTGGAAAAGAAAGATAAAAGGTAACAAATTTGCATTATTGAAATATATTTTCATTTTCAATTCAATTTTTTAGAAAAAATAAAGAAACTGATGCTAAATACCGCAAATTGAAGGAAAAGTTTCGATGCGAAATTGCGGGTATTATCGTACATTATTTGAAACCATATCGCAAAGATTCCTGCAAGAAGGGACGCATAAAGAGTAATGAAGATTTCAACCATTTGGCACGCAAGGTATTAGAAAAAAAAAAAAAAAAAAAGAAAATTTTTTTATGCAATTTCTCTTATAGCTCACACACTTTGTTATGATCAAAGAATTGAAATATTGCGAATCGGTGGGCCAAACTTTAGTTGTAACGGAATCAGTAAAAAACAAATCACGAGAATTCATTAAAAAATATATGGCCAAGTACGGCGAAGCTTATGTGAAACCTAACAATGACCCAGAATTTAAAGATATACCTTACACTTTGTAATGCAATACAACTTCAAAATGTAGAGCGTTAAACGCGTTTAGCATTTCTTGTAGTTGTAGAAACTTTCGTATTTAACAATAAAGCATTGCGTAATTTACCAAGCAATTGGTGAAAACAAGTTTATTATTCCAAATGTATTTCATGTCATTAAAAAAAAAGAACACGCACACTGTAAATCGGTTCATTTCAACTATAGTGAGGAGGAATTTATGAGCTTTCCTCAACATTGTTAACTTCAGCAGGATGTGCACGGTTGGGGTTATCGGGCTTCATTGCGGGAAACAGGAGAACCTCCTATAAATACAAAACAAGTCATTCATATTTTTCCATTGTGATTAAAATTTCTCAACTCACTTTAATATTATTGGAATCGGTAAGGAACATTGTTAATCGGTCAATGCCCATTCCCCACCCACCAGTCGGCGGCAGGCCATATTCTAAGGCAGTACAGAAGTTCTCATCCACCAATTGAGCTTCATCATCACCGGCTGCCTTGTCGTTGGCTTGCTGCTCAAAGCGTTCTCTTTGCACCACGGGATCGTTTAATTCGGTGTACGCATTGCAGATTTCTTTCTTCATTACAAATAACTCGAAGCGTTCTGTTAGACCGGGAACGTTGCGATGGTATTTCGCAAGGGGAGACATAATTTGTGGGTGGTCACAAATAAAGGTGGGATTAATACAATACTCCTCAACAAATTCACCGACAAGTTTATCCAGCAAGCGCGCGGTTGTTCTTGGAGCCGGGCATTCAACGTTATGATTAGCGCATAATTGGGATAAGAATTCATTGGTTTTTTCATTGGCGAATTCGGAGGCTGGAGGAAAACTTACTTTCAGTTTTTCCTCTAAAGTGGTTATCATGCTGACTCTTTTAAAGGGCGGAGTGAAATCAATTTCTTGAACAGGGCCTTCTGCACCCTCTGGATGATATTTGATTTTATAAGTACCATGAATAGCTCTTACCATGCCAGATACCATTTGCTCTGTAATTTCCATTATGTCATGATAATCAGCATAAGCCATATAAAATTCACATGTAGTGAATTCAGGATTGTGTGTCATATCGATTCCTTCGTTACGGAATTGTCGGCCTATTTCGTAGACGCGATCGAGACCGCCAACTATTAACATTTTATGATACAGTTCAGGAGCAATGCGCATAAACAAATCCATATTGAGTTCATTATGATGGGTGATAAAAGGTTTTGCAGTAGCACCGCCAGGTATCATATTCATCATAGGGGTTTCAATTTCCAAGAAACCCATGCCATCGAGAAATTGGCGTATGTAAGATATAACCTACGCAAACGAAATACGATTAAATTTGTACAAACGCTCATTTTTGTATGTAAACTCACTTTAGCCCGTGTATGGAAATTTTCACGAACTCTATTATTAAGAATTAAATCCAAATAACGCTGGCGATAACGAGTCTCTTTGTCTTTGAGACCGAAGTGTAGATGAGGGAGCATATGCAAGCAAGGTGATAATAATTTAATCTAGCAAAACCACATAAATTAAGAAAAGTTTTTTTTTTTGAAAGGTAAAATAAATTACTTCTTGTGGAACGATAGACAATTCGCCTTTCTTAGTCTTGGCTGGAAAACCGTTAATACCTACAATATCCCCACGTCTGATTTTATTTGTGTCTATTTCAAAGGCAGCAGTTCCACTTCCATATAACTTAGCATTAGCCATGACTTGTAGCTTAACCCCTTCACCTCGTAAATCGTAGAATATCAATTTAGCTCCCGATTCCCGTATAGCATGAATGCGGCCGGCAATACTATATAAATTGATTGTCGCTTTTTAAACAGTTTTTAAATTTAATACATTAACAAACCTTAATTTTTCATTCTCCAACATTTCTCCCTCCTTTAAATGGCTGTATTTATTTATGTATTTTTCTAATGAAATACTAACATTGAACTTATGAGGATAAGGATCAGTTTCAGGAGATTTCTTGAGTTCTGCCACAGCCGCTGAACGTAACTTAAAGTACTCATTTGGTGAAATTTCTTCTTCGGCTGCAGTAGATTTCTTTTTTTCCATTGGTTTAGCTTCAACCTTTTCTTTAGCTTTCTGTTCTTTTAAGCGGCACTTAAGCTCACTATAAATTAAACAAGAAATTATTTTGAACAACTTTACAAAAAAACAACAAAACAAAACGTACAGTTTGGTCTTTTTACAAGATATCTGCGTGTACTCTGAAGTCATTAATCTACTCGGAGGGAAGCAAATAAAATACTTTGCTTTAAACGATAAATGACTTCTTAGACAAGGAATATGATGTAATTTTTTGAAGGTTTTGACAAGTCCCAACATTTTCCATAAGTGATTGGAGATTTTGCATTCAAAAGTTTTATTGATTTCGTGAAATAATAAATCTTCTTTTATTAAACTCACTTTGTACATATATTGCTTTTCTTAGAATTCTTTTAAATCATACATTCGTATATATTTAAGGACCGTTCCTTCAATTGAATGCCTTATTTGCAAAGATATTTACTATATCTTGAGAAATTTCATGTGCAAATAGCACTTTTTTTATAACCTCAATTTTCTTTTTAAACCACACGTTCCATATGACAACACAGCAAATTATGTTTCACTTATTGTCATTAAGTTGAAATACTCACGGTTTGGATATTTCAGCAGTTGTATCCATTTTTGTCTTCTAAGTAGACGAAATCAAATCTAATTGCTTTTAATTCCTGAGTTTAATAATAATTAAAGTAAATTTGCGTACGAAACTCAAAACCTGACTCTTTTTGCATACCGTCAGGCAAACGTTGATGCACTAGATTATTAATTCTATAGTCCGGCAATATTTTAAAGAGTTCGCGAAGCAGCTTACAAAATACAGCTGAGATTGACGATACTAAAAAGTTTCTATTGGCAGTTCTGTATATGCGTAGTAGGCATAGTTTGTAATTTGTTAGCAAAAGTTAGGAAATTTTTTCCAAAATTTTTCGCTAGTAATTTATAAATTTACAGCATTTCTCAAATCGACGTTAAAACAATCATGTGTTCTAACCAATACCGTATAAAAAAATAAAAATTGAATAAAAAGCTAATAAATTATAATTCGGGTTTATTTGAAATGTTATAAAATTAAAGGACATGGAAATTGGAAAATATCAGCTTCTTAAGCGTATGCAGTTTAATATTTTGCCTTTTTGATGTAGTTTTATTGCAAATATGGAAAGTTGCAAAAAAAAAAAAAAGCAATGGCTTAAGAAAATTTTCAACAGACCTAATTAGAGCAGCCCTTCGAAAAATCTATAAATCAGAAAGAAAAATATTGGAGCATAAAGGAGAACAGTAAAAACGAGAGCAGAAAAAATGAGCAAAACAAAAAACTAGAAAAAATAAAATCTATTAGTGTACAGTTTACGAAAGAGAAGGGATTTTTTTTCATTTAGACTGCAGCATAATGCGTTTTACAAGGAACAAATAAATAAATGGGTAAGTGTCAGGAGAAGCAAATTAATGCAGCGAATAGACGCAACAGAGAACGTGCCGGTGGTAGAAGGTGCAACATTACCGCCACCGGCAACAAGTGTTGAGAATGAGTGTGGTGTAAGTAGAGACCAGAATAATGGTATTGACGGCGGATGCAATGTAAACAAACTCGTTGTTAATACCACGAATGTGCATGCAAATGATGTAGATGAGGAAGATGACGATGAAGAGAGCACGTTTTATGAAGCGGCCGGTGAACCGGAACTATTATCATTTGAAAAAGCTTTAAAAATAACAAATGACGTCACTTGGTCTGAAGTAAATAAATCTGAAAGCATAATAACAAACGATTTGCAATCGCAACAGCTTTTAGGTATGAATTTGCGATGTGCAATTACGGCATATGACGAAGGTAAGTCAATACAAAGCCGTTCAATGGAAAATAACAAAACGCATTGCATTGAATTCGAAGAGGAATGCGAAGGTGCAGTAGGCATAACTTGTCCTAAAGAAGATTCAAACCTAGCTTTTAAGGAAGCCGGTTTACCACCTCCGCCCTTGCAAATTTCGAACGAATTTGAAGAGACATTTATTGTATTGCGCCGAAAACGTGACAAAAGTAAGTATGAGATGGTTGCTTGTTTTCAGCCAAGTTATTAAATGAAATTGTTAATTGTAGACTTAAAAGACTTTAATCGCATTAATCAAACTTGTCATGCCAGTTTTGAAGACGAGCAAGGTCAAAAGCAACGGCAACAAACTTTGTTAACTACAAAGTCTTGTGAAAACCCGGCCACGTCTACGACTTTATCCCCGACCAATTCTTACAATGGCAGTATTGGTAGTGATGGCGGCGGTAGTGTGGGTGGAGGTGCTAGGCGTAAATCGTGGACCTTGTCGCCGCAGAGCGGCAGCTCTACACCATTAAGCGGTGCTAAAAAGAAAGAGAAGCGCTCTAGTGTTAAGTCGCCAGCATCCTCTACTCCAACAGCGGCTACGGTCACGGATTCTTTTAACTTATGGGTGGCTAGAGAGTGTTTTGAAACGGTGCCGGCGGAAACGGTTTACGAAGTTGAAAACACGGTATCTAATTTAGTGGGGTCAACTGGCCTGACAATTGACGAAGAAGCTGATGAAGAAGCGGCAGCCGTCGAAAGTTTATTAGGGGCCGCGGCGGCTCTTCATGCTAGTGCCACTGCCAGTAAGGAATTATCTCATATACACAGAAGACAAAAACATTTGCGTCAACCTCAACATCGCCCCCTTGAACGCTCTTGGCCCCCGCGAGCATTAGGCAGAGATTTTCGACTGCAAGGGGAAGTATTTAAATTTGATATTTTGGATACTGACGAAAGTTTAGATGAATTTGGAAGTATGCAAAGTACTTTCGGCAGCATTTCGAACAGTGCCAATAATTCCCCTCTTCTGCTGCTGAATAGTGCCAATTCCAGTAACTCTTCGACTACAAGTCCTCAGTATGAACTCTATAACACGTCTTCTCCACCACCTATGAAATTTAAACCATTAATCAAAAAAAAAATCGGTCCAGATAGTTATATTAATACGATCTCTACAAAAAAAGTGCCCGCTACGGATTCATACGAATTTCCCACATTCCCAGTGAAAGATAGTAGTTCCTCTGAACAATTTCCGCAAGCTCCTATTCGTCAGCATAGGCCACTGACACGTACATTGTCTAATGGAAAGTCCGCTTATGAGGAGCGGCAACAATCGCAACCGCATTCGCCCAGTCGTTTGATGCTATCACCAAAACGTCATCGCAGTCCACCGTCGGGCTGTTCAACACGTAGTGCTTCGCCACTCGATTTTCAGTTGAGTCCAGAGGCTCAACAAGTGTCCTCAGTACCACTTGCTACGCCTGTGATACATCCTCGTCCACAGCAGCGCTTATTAAAGCGTGTAGGGGGTGTAGGAGCAGGTGTGACGACTGCAACAGTACCATCTAATCTTATCTGCCCTCCTACACCAACACATCATGCGCGACGTCATGCACGTATGCAATCTGCTGCACCTTTAAATAATAATTTGGAAGACAGCTATATAGGTTCTACTAGTGGTACAAGTGGGCATTTGGTAGATTATAATTACGTGAGTAGCAGAACACCGCCACCTTCTTCACCAGCTTTGAATAACGCAACTTGTGATAGGGATCGTATACGAACAGCTGATATAGTACAACTTAGCGCTGGAACAAGTACTAATCACGCAGCCATTGAACTAATTGACAACAACGATGATGATGATATTAGCGGTGAAGACTTAGGAGTAGTTCATATAACTAGTACAAGATTGCCTTCTATACCGGAAAGAGAAGCAGCTGGCGGTTTATTACGCACCAGCGGTATTTTTGGTGTGGAAGCAGAATCAAGCGCCACTGGTGGCGCAGCCGAACCTTTACCTCCCGCTTGGGAAGCTCGTATGGATAGCCATGGTCGTGTATTCTATATAGACCATACAACACGCACAACATCCTGGTTACGTCCTGGTTCAAACGGTTCATCTGCCTTAAACGATCATGGTGGACGTGAACAGCACCATCGCCAGCAGTTGGACAGGCGTTATCAATCAATACGTCGAACTATTACCAGTGAGAATCGTTCTTCCACTGCTGGTGCGACTGGTGCAAGTAATGATAATCATTTGCACCACACTGCCTACTCACATGTTTCACAACTCTCGCACGCTTTCATTCAAAATAATAATCAATCAAATAATACTGCCGTCATCAACACCAATGGAGCTGCGGCAGCTGCTGCCAATATGCAAACCCTTAATAATCTGTTCCCACATCCTGCTGTATTGATGCTCTGCCGTCCCGACTTTTATTCTATGTTACATACCAACGAAGATGCCCTTGCTATTTATAATCGCAATGCTGCCCTTAAACACATGGTTATACGTATACGTCGTGATCCTTATAGCTTTCAACGTTATCAATATAATAAAGATTTAGTGGGCTTGGTAAATTCTTTTGCCCAGCTTAATCGCGATTTACCATCCTGTTGGGAGACAAAGCTCGATCAGTCTGGCAAGCAGTTTTTCATCGATCACAAAAATCGGAAAACTTCATTCATGGATCCGCGTCTGCCCATTGAATGTCCACGCATCATACGACATCGTCAACAGCACTATGATACTTTGGATGGGAATTGTATGTCTTCCTCAGTAGGGTTACCTCCACTACCACCACCACGACCTACAACATCATCGCGTCATACCCAGAATATGCAGAACGATAATACAACTCCGGGCTATAACGGCTTTCAAAATTGCGTTGCTAATACTAGCGGAGGTACCAGCAGTTACAGTGAGGTCCCCGTTGCTTATAATGAAAAAGTAATTTGATAAGATTTTTAGATCTATTTCCTATTATGCAGTTGCTGGGTAGATTTTTATATTAATCCATGACTCTCAGAAATGCGAATTAGCGATCCCATAATATTCTTAAACAGCGCAAATTCCTAGGCGCCGTCGACCATATCTGTCTGTTCGTCCGTTATGTGTACGTGGACTAGAAAACGAAAAACATAAAGCTTCAAACTAGCCATATATGGTTTTAGTTGAGAGCTAAAGCTCATATTTAAAAATGGACAAACATGGCAAAGAACGATAACTTAAAAAGTTATTACTTACGCGAGCTAAAATTAAGTAAGAGAATATATGAAAGTCATATGCAGAGATTATCACTCTGCAGACATACTAACTGTAAGCGAAAAAATTTCAACTTGGAATCGATGCTGCACATATTGATTTAAAGAAAGACTCAAATATTTGATGGCCTGAAAAGCATTACGCGAAAGCACTACCATAATTAATGAAATATTTGGCAATTTTTTTTTTTTTTTTGATATTAGTTAGAGGTTATAGGTTGTCTTGTTAATCGCTTTCTTTCGTTTTGTCAATTGCAGGTTATCGCTTTCTTACGTCAACCTAATATTATTGAAATTTTACGAGAACGTCAAGGACAAAATAATGTTTCGCGTTCATTACGTGAAAAGATTAACATTTTAAGAGTCGAAGGCGTTCCTGCATTGGAAAGATTTTCACATGATCTGCAGTTAACTATGTTATTGAGGTAAGCGTTACGCGTATTAAACGTAGAATGTTGTTCACCCTTATATTTCTTTGCAATGAAAGGAATTGGAGTTGGTGATATTTTGATATTTGGGTTACACATGAGAAGCTATTGTTAAAATCTTTTAAAAATTTTGCTCAAGTTATTTGAGTGGTATTCACAGAAAATGACACTAACAATGTCGACAGAAAGAAAATGAAAATTGAATCAAGGAGTCCACTTATAGGTGGACTTTTCAAGAAAAGTGATTTTGAGTATTTAAGTGCTAATGAGTATTTTGGGTTTGATTTGACAACAAGTAAAGCATCAACATGAGTAGGGCACACTTATCTACAGCACTCTTCGAACAGAATAAGAAAGTTATGTCCGCATTAAGGCAAATGTTGGATATACTCCACCTCCGACTAATAAATAAAGCTTGTTCTTTTTTTTCATGTTTTACCTTCGTAACTGCGGTTGTGCCGATTAGCTCATCGGAAGATGGAATCCTTCAGTGTATCTTCAAAGTATTAGTTCAATCAGCCTACGTTTTTTGCTCATTGTGGGCATGCTTTTACGTGGATCGCTCTCATTTTTGAAACGAAGTTTTAACCCTTCTTGGCAAATACTTCCTTTAAAACTTGCTAAAAAATACGTGTTTTAAATAGATCACTGCATTGTTCTATATAATTTATCTTAAAGAATTAAATTCTTGGATTAAAAAGGAATGAGCAGTAGCTTTTAAGATTACCGAGCCTGCAGGGTGGTTAACATTTCAATTTGTAATAAGAATTCGATTTTTTAATTAATTATTGACATGAGAACAACAAGAACCTTTGGAAATTGCACACGTGCGCCCAAGCTTAATATGTCTTTTGCCACTAGTAATGCGGGCAAATAAAAAAAAATTTGACGCCATCGACTGTTCCTAGGAAAAAACGTTAATTTTATTTTTTTAATTTTTTCTGCTTGTTTTGTCGAGTACATTAATCGCGTTTGCATCGCTAAATGTCCGGGAAATGTATATTTTTATAGCATTATTTGATGTGTTCTTTTTTTGCCATTAGCGGTTAAACAAAGTTATCAAGATATTATCAGATTTGATTTTAAAGCAGGAAAAAGACTTGAATGAAAAAAACTGTGTGGAAAACTGTCAAAGTCTCCGCCATCAGCATTCTATGAAGAACAAAAATCGGGAAGATGCGTTCTTTCAGTAAAGTTGCCTTCCTGGTGACGCTAAAAGAAGTAAATCTTCACGTAAAATTTGCTGCAAAATATTGATCAAGGTAGACAGACAACCTTGGCAACTAAGAGCGCTCTTAGGGCAAGTAAGAAAGTTATATTTGGCCCGGGGCCGAACCTCGCATACTCATCACCATTAAAATCTTTGCTGCTCCATGATTTTATTTATTGTCATAAAAAAATCTCGCACCTTTGACTTCACCAAAAGATATTGTTAAGAAAAATGAATCTATCGCGTCGTAATGTCCATCGTAATTAATTTAGAATTAACACATCTCGCTCTTCGCATTCGACTCTCCAACCCCTTTTACTTGATACCCAATCGCTAGTATTACTAAGAGAAAAGTAATCCGCTAGCTCGTGGTGTCCATCGTTTTTATTTTAGAATGAACTCGTTTTTAGGCAGTTAATATATCTTCATTTGAGGAATGTACAAATTGATTTTAAACACTCTCTCTTATTTATACTATGATTGATGATTCTGAAGCATAAAATTTTAAAATTGTGAAAAAAAATAAAATTTAATCGCTTAATTTAATCGCATAAATAGTAGTGTGTTTTGTTAAGTAATGGTGGAGTGTGGATTTCAGTCTTCTATGTTTTACAATTGGTTGGGTAATGATCAAAAAACCATAAATGTTTCCTTAGAAAAACGGAGTTGCATTCAATTTACGCTTCAATGCGGACTTGTGCTCCGACCAATTTGTCCCGTTTTAAATATCGATCTGCGTGCAAAAACTTTGAATGTTTCTACCAAATTTGAAATCTTCTTTGCGATCAGGAAGATGTCAACAACACACATCACATAAACACAGAGACGTGCAGACATGGCGTAATCAATTTATAACTTAATACTGATCAAAAAAAAATATATACTTTATAGGGTGTTTGAAGCTGGCTTTTGGGGACCTTTCAGCGGCGGATATAAAAAAACTAAAAAAAATTATAAGAAATGAAAATTGCAAAACTCCAGCCAAGTGCGCCAAGTATTCTAGGTCATGTTTCTTTTGCGGCGAACGATGAAGTCCCTTTGCAACGAAAGGCAACGTTAAATTGGCAGACAATTGGTGACACAATCGTAGAATCTAGTCTCCTACAAATGGTCCAGTTTATATTTGGATTAAACGCAAGCCAAGCCTACGATCCCGATTGCCTGCTTGCTACAGTCAAATTTGGGGGAGGTTTTGTTATGATTTGAGAGGCTATAGCATGGTATTCACCTGATGCACTCGTTAACACTCGATTATTGTGGACTACCGTAAATGAATATCTCAACATCATCAGTGATAAAGTTCTTGCTATGATTAGCATATTGTTGTCAAACACCGCTACATTCCAAGATGATAATGCGCTCACATCCAAAAAGATTCAGTTTTAGTTTGCGGAGCATCAATATATCATCAAAAATTTTACCTCGTTAGCACAATCGCTAGATCATCTCAACGTCATGAAACCGTTATGGGGAGTTTTAGCACAGAAAAGGAGGAGCGGTTTCCCATTTCCAACATCATTGAAGCCAATGTCGACAGTTTGGGCACAAGAATGCAGCAACAGCACTCCTACTTGACAACTATTCAGACACTCTATGAATTTATTCCGCGAAAAGTTTGCACCTGCTTTACCAGCAAATAGTGACCTGGCGCCTTGTGTATATATATATATATATATATATATGAGGCGTTCATATTAGTTTGTCCATCCCCTCTACATTCCTGATCAACTTGAAAAGCAGAATTGCTTTATCCATGAAAATCTTAAGATCTTCTCTGTAGAAAGATATTTTGCTTGCCATTCTGTACCACTTGCATTTAAATAAACTCGAAAAGACACAAAATCAAACCAACGTTTTGTCCAAAATTTGCATAAATAATGTAAAGCGTAATATATCATTACATATGCTTTTTAGTTTTCCAACGATATTTGTAAGGCCTGGCAATATGTTTTGAAATATATGCAACATAGGACGTTTACTTTAACATGCACGATGGGTAGATATTCTCTCTATCTTGTGCTCAAATACAAATATACGAATGTACACCTGTGCTTCAATTATGGCCAAATACCCCTCTTATCTCTATCGCTTCAAAAAAAAAAAAAAAAAAAAAGTTTGTTTGAATGTGTGTGACGCTCAGAAGGCTTTATCAATTTTTTATAATACAACTCAGTGAGTTCACGTTTTTTGTTTTTTAACTTATAGGTCGCTAGTTTTGAGATATTTCTAAGAAATCTGCCGCAATAACGAATTTTATGATTACGAATGAGTCCATGTCTGCATCATGTAAGTTTACTGTTTGGATTCTATTCAATTCTCCCGAAAAGTATGCCTCTACCTGGGAGCAAAGTATAGTTTTTGGTATTCTATCACGAAAATAAGTGAGCAGTTGTACTAGATGTCGGCATTGCAGGTATGGGATATTTATCTCCACGACTATAATGTTTTTACTCTTTTGATTTATTCATGTATTTTTATTTTTTTTTTTTATTTTTGTTATTTCTGACTCTTATACACGCGGCCAGGAATAATTATAGGTGTACAATTTGTTTCAATCAGCAATTCTAATTAATTCTGATAATGAAAGCGAGGGACATCCTTGGGCTAAAATATGTCATATTTAATATTTCGCAAAAATCGGTAAAAAATAGTAGTTTGGCCTATTAAGTGAATGCGAAAAATTGAACAAGTGGCTAAGTAATAGTATTTCGACATTTTAAATTGGTAGGAAAACTTTGGACCAGCTGAGGCAATTTTTTGAAGTGCCTGCTGTATAACGGCTTCATGATGATAATCAGATCATAATAATAATTAAAGATAAAAAAATTAACCATACCAAATTTAAATCGTTTTGGCCTATTTTTTGGATTCTACCCAATACACATACATTTTGACGGAAATTGATCCTTTGTAGGGTTGAAAAGTTTAAATTTTAATATGTTAAGATGAAACTTAACCCGTCATAGTAATTTAGGTTAAAAAAAATCACTGTACTAAATTTGTAACATCCACGCCTTGTTTTGGATTCTACCCTATATAAGAACTTTTATGAAACCTTTTTCCTTTTTCGGACAGAAAAGTTTAAGGTATAATAGTTGTCTGATATAAAATTTGCCTATTCTAAATTTTGGATACGTACCACAATTTTTGAACTTGTTGGGCACAAACATTCTTACGGAAAGTAAGCCTTTACTTGCAAAGAGTCCTAGTTTTTGATATACAGTCACATAATAGAAAGTTGATATCCAAACAGGGTATGCTTTTTTTATTTTCTATGGCAAAAGTAAGAATTGTGCTTGATAATCTAGGTGTAGGCAATATAATGGTTCGCCTAGTCCGACTATAATGTTTTCATTTGTTTTTCTCTTTTATTATATAGATTTTTTATTTTTTTTTTGATTAATAGATCAAAGTAATGGGATGCTCGAATCTTTCTTTAGAGCAGTTACATAGGCGAGTAACTTTTCAACCATCATACTAGAAGTTGTTTTTGACGGGGAATAGAAAATGCGGACGATAAGCGTAGGAAAATGTTTCGCCGAAAATTATTCCTATGACAACGAAAAGGAAATAATGAGATTTTATAAGAGTGCGCCTCTTAGGGAAAAACTATTTGAAGCGAGAGGTGTGTGGAATGCTGCATAAACTACTTCTTCAATTATAAATGAGAAAGCACAAATAAAAACTCAGGCGGTAGAATGGACACGCATACTGTCGGCTTATTATTATTTGCTTAAATAATCTGACGCAGAATTTAATTACATTTTGTTAGTTGTTAGTCCGGGCC